TGGCTTCTCAACAGTGGCACTAGTGACATTTTAGGCTCAATAATTCTTTATTGCAGGGGGCTGTCCTGTGCACTGCAGGATGTGTGACAGTATCCTTGGCCTCTACCTACTGGATCTCCAAATTGTGAAAATCAAAAATGTCTTTAGATGTCAAATGTCTCTTGAGGGGCAAAACTGCCCCAAGTTGAGAACTACTACCTTAGGGATTACAAAAACTTATCTTTAAAATTTCTCAGTCTACTTACAGTTAATATTATACCACTTTATATAAAATAGAAAACATTGCAACCTCTAGGCCCATTGTCCTCCCAGCCCTTGTGCTATAGTTGTTATGTGTTAAATCTGCATATGTTATAAAACTGACAAAACAAAGTTAATATTTTTGTTTTGAATAGTACTATGTATTATAAAGAAATTGAAAGGAAAAATAAGAAAAAAATGTCTTTTGTATTCAACCAGATATTTATTAATTCTAACAATCTTAAGTTCATTTTGCATTTAGTATATTCTTACAAATTATAAAGGGACAGATAGTTCTGGTGTATGCAAATTGTACTATAACACAGAAAAAAGAAGGCCAACTGCTGAAGTAATCCAGAAAGTGAGCTATGTATCTGGTACTCAATAAAAATTTCTATAAGGGTAGAATACATACTCATAAAAGCAATTTATGCTATAGTCAGGATAGGGTGCTAGAGGGATGGAGGTGAAGTGGGGAAGAAATAACCCAAATATGAAATATATGTAATCTTTAGAAAAAAATAAGCGATCATCTTCTGAAGCAAACAAACAAGGTGAAAAATCCCAAAACCAAACCAAAACAAACATCAAGGGAAATAAAACCTGAAAGCCAAAACAAACCAAACATCAAGGGGAATAAAAGACATCTTGAAGGAAAACAAAGACATACACCATGTTCCTGGTCAAAATCCACTCTTTGATTTCCCTGTCACAGACTTATCTATGGTTCACCACCCTCTCTGGTAACCAGACCTTGGATTTCTGTTTACATATTTTACTTTTCCTATTTTTACCATAATAATTTTTTTCTTGAACATTTAAAATTCTTTGGCTAAAATTTAATTCTTTGATTTTTCTCCATTAAAAAATTTTTAAAAACCAAATAAAAGCATTTAAGGTTATATATTTTCTACTGGTATAGCTTTCGTCATGATTTGTTTGAACTGTTAAAGTTTTTATATTAAGGTTTCCTACTACAACCATATTTCTCTATTTTCCATTGTACTTTCACAAATTTTTATAGGTATGTTATTTGGTCCAAGGTTCAGTACCATTACTGATTAACCCTGGACCAAGTATTCTAACTATACTTGGATTCCTTCTCTATTTAAAGACTAAAATAGAAAGACTGATTCCTCAGGTACATTGAGACAAAACAAAAAAAAATTGGCAGGGCTAAAGGCAAAAGAAATACATACGCTAAAGGGCTATAGTGGGTATTCATTATGTCTTTTCATAAGTGATGGCTGTGATGAAATTTACATATATGTGATGAATTTACATATATATGATGAATACTTACATGAAATGAACCATACCTCTATTTATGAATGGGCAGAAAAAGGCCATTATTCAAGAAAAGATGACACTTAAAATGATATATAAATTCCTTGCTGAAAACTGCCCATCACACTTATCTAAATAAAAGCTCAATAAAAGCTCACCAGAAAATACTACTTCCCAGGAAAGGGTACAGGTTGGGACAGGGGAAACTCACCATAAAACTTGGACTTAGCCAGGATACTACCGCTAAGGCAAAATCCATCTTTTCGGTTACTAACATAAAAGGCAGATATTGGTGGATGATGGGACACCTATTAAACACAAGAAAAAACATAAAACATAACATGATAAGCATATTATTGTGCTATTATCAAAAGTTCAAGTCTTAAAAGTAAGAGGAAACATTTGGCAAGCAGTAAAATTAAATTTCGATGGCTGCAGTAACCAGCCTCCTGACACCTAAGGAAACTCACTAGATAGTCACACCATTAAGTAAGGCCCTCTTACATTGTGCCAAAGTTGGTTTGTGCAGAAACGATAGTATGTCACCTCTGAAATTAGGTAACAATGCAACTTCCAACTTGGGAGGTAGGGGTATCCCTTTTTCTCTCTCTCCCTCGCTTTCTCTCTCATTAGCTCTGAAAAGCCAGCTTCCATATTTTGAAAAACCCTACGGAGAGGCCCATGTGAGGAACTGAATTCTTCTGTCAACAGCCATGTGATGAACTTGGAAGTGAATCTTCCAGCCCAGTCAAGCGTGCAGCTGATTGCAAAAATGGCTAACATCTTGACTGTAAGCTCACGAGAAACCAAGAACCACCCAGCTAAGCAGCTCCCAGATCCCTGAACCTCATCAAATGAGATAATAAATATTGTTTTGACCCATTCAGTTTGGGCAATAATTTGTCACACAGCAATGGATAACTAGTTTAGTGGTTATTCTTCATATGGATTACTGAACTGGCTGCAGGAAACAAACAAAAGCTTTGACAAATATGTTATTTAATAATCTAATGTTTTCAATACATTTAAATCTTATGTTTTCTGAAATGAGACAAAGTTAGAAACAGTTAAATCTGTCTCAAGCTTTTTAATTTTGTGAAGAATTATGGTGCACTAAAATGCAAGGTGGTATAATCCTTAACTTTTAAAAATTAATATAGATAAATGGTTTTGATCTGAGGAGTATATCAATTCTCCAAGGGAAGAGGAAGGTTTTCCAAAGAGCACATGGTCTCCTCATTCTCCTTACCCTCAAGAATCATCATAATAAAGGACCATTGTTATTGAAAGAGAATGTCATATCCCTCGGACAGGGGAGAAGACTGAGGATCATTAATATAAATGTACATAGGTTTAAATTAATGAAAGTTTAAAATATTTCCTGTCTACTACGTGTACAACAAAAAGAAAGGTACCA